TGGTAATCCCTACCCATTCCAGTTTCTATCTTCTGCTGTCTTGTGAATGCAAGGCGCGCCATAATGCCTGGTCAGACCCTGCCTCCTGAAGGATGTGTTAGAACTATTTTGACACTTCACAGACATTACTCCATGCAAAGGGAGTCCCTTGAGAGCAGAACAGATGTCTAATTGAAATGTGCCTTTAGCTGGAAGCAAGGTAGAAGAGTAGGTCCAAGCTCTGTGGCAATGTTGGTCTTACTAACCCCTTCTGCAGAGGCTAAGGACAGGAGCCTTTTCTGACACTGGTTCCTGCTCTTATCTTTTTAATGTATCAGTGATTCCTAACTGCTGTGTTTTCTTCTCAGTACCATAAAGCTAATGCAAATTTTGGCACTGCAAATTTAGTAGTCCTAGGCTGGCAGAGGCTACTAAAAAGGTGTGAGTGCAGAAGGGGAAGTTTTGACCTTTGGAGGCCTTCAAGGACATTTTCACCCGTGTAACATCTTAATGTGATGGAGGTGGTAATTACAATCCTGCTGTAAAGTACCCTGAAGCCAGAGCAAACAGGCACACAAACAAGATAATACCTTAATGATCTATTAAGGGATTGAAAAAAGAATCAGGACTCACAAGTCCTGGCATTAACAGTTGTTGGCACTGTAGCCCACGTGAAGGCTGTGGGAGGACAGGAGGAAAATGTGTGCTCCAGGTTTGGCCACACCAGTAACACCCACCTGTGCTGGCACTTCCACCTCTGAAATGAATGCAAAATGATTTGCCTTGCTCTGCCACCAAAGACAAAATTTTTTCCTACTGTTTCAAAGGCAGCCAAGGGGTCTTTGCTCTAATCTGCAGCTGATCGTTTATCTGGCCCCAAATCGACGACATCCAGTGTCAGCAATGGGTAGTGTGCTGTTGTAGACAAGGGCTTATAAAGAGCTGCAACCTTAAAGCCTGCCTGTAGCATCATTTGGGGATAGTAGAGGTGGTTAAAGAATAGTAAATAGTATAAAGATAATGATTCAGAGGCTTGCAAATCATTAGTCAAAATGTAGTTGGAAGGCTGACAACCCATGGCCTTACCAACACGTTCTCCCCCCTTCTCAGTTAAGTGACATGTTTCAATTTGAATATGCATACTGTCCATTTACTGGCATTATCAGAACAATTTCAAGCACAGTACTCTCTATTTTTATGAAGGTGGTTTCTAAAGTAAATGTGAAACATTGTAAGTCTTCTGTAGAAAGTTCTTCTTTGTAGTACTGGACATGCAAAAAATCACCTGCCTTCATGATCTCTGAGTGGAATTTTCCCTTTGAATTTCATGTCCAGACCACCAAAAACCAGGTATAAATAATACCCAAGTAAGACATTTCAAGTATGTTTGTTTTATTGACTCACAGGAAGGGTAATTTTGAGGGAAAATGAACTTATTATCCTGATGTTTGTTTTTTAAATAGGCAAGTAGGTCAAGTTTAGGGTTTGTCAAACTGACAGCATTTCATCATTCACACAGCTCAGGTTTCATCTGTTTTAATTAACTAAACCTCCTTCCGTTGTGTAATGTACATACAGTGTATGCTTTCATTCCAAGTTTCCTTTTTTTTATCCCTTAGCTTAATGCTATATTAACTATTGCATATGCAATGGTGGTGTCCACACCCTTCCCAAAACCCAGAGATGTTGGAGATTTAAAAGTATTTTTGTTTGTTCTGGCAGACGGTGAAAAGGGTATTTACTATCCCTTTTCCAATGGAAATACACTGTAAGTGGAGAGTAGGGGATACTGACAGTCATAACCACTTCCCCACCTCTTTTTCATCCTGGCTGCCACAAAAGCTGCCTGGTGTGTGCCTCCTGCACCCTTAAACTGTACAGTCCAGCTGCCTTTCCCACACCACATGTAAGATGGTGGTGTTCTTCCCAAAGAAAGCCACACACTTTTCTAACATGGATAGACTGTGAAGAGCTGCCTTTGAGAAACTGCCATGAACAAGTTTATGGCTAAAAATCAATGACCAGGTCAGCAAAGGGCATGCTGTGTTTGGGGTCTACTGCATACTGCATGATCAGGGGGAGCCTGTTGGTGAGGACTTTTTGCTTCGGTTCAGTTACGTTGTGCTCACGGGCTCTCGTCCTGCTGGGGGGTTTCAACCACCTAGATATCTGCTGGGAAAGCAATACAGCTGGCTGTAAGCAGTCCAGGAGTTTCCTGGAGTGCATTGAGGACAAGTTCCTGGTGCAAATATTAGAAAAAGCAGCCATAGGAGGAGAAGGGTTACTGAACCTGGTGCTCACCAGTGCAGTTTGGCTCATTAAAAAGGTTAAGATATGAGGCAACCTGGGCAGCGGACTATTTGGCGGATAAGGAATTGGCTGGCTGGATGCAGCCAGAGAGTTGTGGTCAATGGCTCTATGTCCAGGTGGGGGCCAGTGACAAGTGGTGTCCCTCAGGGCTCTGTCATGGGGTCAATGCCCTTCAATATCTTTATCAGTGACACAGACAGCGAGACCGAGCACAGTCTCAGCAAGTTTGCAGATGACATGAAGCTGAGTCACGCAGTTGACACAAAAGAAGGAAGGGTTGCCATCCATGGGGACCTGGACAAACTGGATAAATGGGCCCAGGAGAATCTCATGAAGTTCAACAAGTCCAAGTGCAAACAGGGAAAAGAAGTCACTGAGAGCAGCCCTGTGGAAAAATTCTTGTGAATGAAAAGTTGGACATGAGCCAACATTGTGTGTGCTGTCAGCCCAGAAAGCCAATTATCCTGGGCTGCATCAAAACAGCAGGGTGAGGGAGCTGATTATTCCCCGCTGCTCTGCTTTAATGAGACCCCATATGGAGTATTGTGTCCAGCTCTGGGGTCCTCCGCACAAGAAGACATGGACCTGTTGGAAGAAGTCCAAAGGAAGGTCACAAAAATGATGAGCGGGTTGGAGCACCTCTCCTGTGAAGACAGGTTGAGAGAGCTGGGACTGCACAGGACAGAAAAGAGAAGGCTCAGTGGTAACCTCACTGTGACCTTTCAGTACTTAGGCAGCTTATGAAAAAGAGGGAGAGTGAGTTTTTAAGTGGGTAGAGAGTGTAAAAAGGGGAATGACTTCAAACTTAAAGATAACAGGTTTAGATTTGATACTAGGAAGAAATTCTTCAGTATGAGGGTGGTGAGGCACTGGCATAGGTTGTGCAGAGAAGCTGTAGATGCCCCCTCCCTGGAAGTGTTCAAGGCCAGGTTGAATGGGGGGCTGAGCAATCTGGTCTAGTGGAAGTTGTTCCTGCCCATAGTGGAGGGTTGGAGTGAGATGATCAGGACGAGAGGACATGGTCTTAAGCTGTACCAAGGAAGGATTAGGTTGGACATTAGGAAGAATTTCTTCTCAGAAGGGGTGATTAGACATTGGAATGGGCTGCCCAGGGAGATGGCAGAGTCACCGTCCCTGGAGATGTTTAATAAAAGACTAGATATGTCACTTTGTGCCATGTTCTGGCTGACATAGTGTTCACTCATAGGTTGGAGTCGATGATCTCAGAGGTCTTTTCCAAACTAATTGATTCTGTGCTCTTTAAGGTCCCTTTCAACCGAAAGTGTTCTACGATTCATTGATTCCTTGACATGGGCACCAAGGGAGGCTATCAATGGCAGGGGCTGAGCGGGAGAGCACTCGATACTCCTGGCCGCCGGGACGGGCGGCATTTCCGGTGCCGATCGGCGAAAGACAAGAACCAAAACAATAGCCACGAAATCGGCGGCTCCCGCGGGGACCGGAGCGACGGGAGCGGCTGGACAGCTCCGCTCTGCGGCGGCTGCCGCGGGCGCGGCTACCCCGCCCCGCCCCGCCCGCGCTGCCCCGCGCCCGAGCCGCGCCCGCTCCTCGCTCGCCATTTTGCGCCGGGCGCCGCCGTGGGCGCTCCCCGTCCGCGTCCCGGCCGCCCGCCCGGGCTGACGGAGCCCGCCGGAGCCGGCGGAGGAGGAGGAGGCGGCACCGGAATGGAGGGCGATCGGCCGGAGAGCGCGGTGAGCTCGGGGGGAACCGGCGGAGCGCGGCCGCCGGGGCGGGGTGCGTCGTCCCTCCGCTTGAGGTGCGGGGGGCTGGAGGTTGTCTGTCTGTCTGTCTGTCCGTCTGTCCGTCCTCATGGGTGTGCGCCGACAGCTTCGTGCCCGCCCAGCTGGGAGCGGCGCCGGCGGCAGCCCCGCGGAGCTGGGACGGCGCGCAGGGCTCGCTCGGAGCCCTTCCGACGGGGCGCGGGGGAAGCGCTCCCGGGGGAAGCGGTCCCGGGGGAAGCGGTCCCGCAGGGAGCCCGGGCGGAGCGGCGGCGGCCCTGGCGCGGGGAGCGGCGCTGGGCTGGGCTGGCGGTGCCCGCGCCCGCCGACACCTGATGCTTAGCGGGGCGCGGGGCCAAGGGGAACCGTGGGGGCCACGGAATTACTGGAGCTGCACCGATCCACGGGCGGATCTTTGTGCGGCAGATAAGGACGTAAATAAACGCATAAACAAATAAATAAATGGTGTTCCGCACTCAGAACTATAGTCCTAATAGTTTCAGCCCTTAAATGTGAATTACGCGTGAGGAAAGCCTGTTGTTTAACCAGTACTGAGTATCTGACACTTAGTATCATTTTTTTTTTTTCTCTCTTCCTGAAAAGCGAGCAAGCAAGCTAAACATATGGACTCCTATTGTTAAGAAGTATGGTTGCACTCATTCCACTAGGTCCTTGAGTGGAATTAAGACTACTCCCCTCCTTTCCTCCCCTGCAATGCAGACATGACCTAAAGATGAACTGAGTTTGCCTAGTGGCAGTGCTCACTTCAGTTGAAATGAACACTGTCAGTGCTTTCATAAATGTTAATTGAGATTTGTTTGCAGTTTTAGCCAGAGAAGTGCCTCAAACCAGATAAAACTGTGTGGATTTATTCTACAGAGATGGAATTTTGGTGACAGAGCAGTGCCATAAATCTTAATGGCTTGTGTTTTCCTGCGCTTACACTTGTTTCTCCCTTTTTCTATCATGAAGGTTGCCATTAAGGGTATCGAAAGAGAGCTTATCTGCCCAGCATGCAAGGAGTTGTTTACCCATCCACTGATCCTTCCATGCCAGCACAATGTCTGTCACAAATGTGTGAAAGAAATACTTTTTGCATTTGAAGACTCTTTTGCTGATGGAGGCTCTGAATCCTCTAATCAGAGTAGCCCTCGAATCAGAATCTCTGCTTCTAGCATGGACAGAATTGACAGGATTAGTAGATCAGGTATGTAAGAATTTGTGCATGTTTTCCTAATTTTATTAGTATACTGGCTTAAAATGACTGGTATCTGGATTGGTAAAATGGCTTCCCATTACTCCTGCTGCGGTTAGAGAGATGACTTAGGGATAGTGCAAGTCTTGTTCATTTTGTGTCAATAACAATGGGAATATTTTTAAGGACAATGCGCTCTGTTTCATATAGATTTGTCTTTGTGGCATCCTGTAAATCTTTATAACCATTGTGTTTTTTTCTGTAATTCAGTTACACCGAAATGCAATAGCATCATGTTCAGTAGCGTAGAGATGTAGATTTCAGCGATTTTATTGCCTGTCAGTAGCACGGTTGAGGTGGTTCTCTTGTGTTTCAGCCAGCCTCAGTGCAGTAGTTCTTACTTCCTTCTGAGCTTTTAGAGAGACTTTGCAAGTTATAGTTTTGTCCTGCTGATATGGTTTGAAGCTGGCTCCCTGCCAAGTCTCCAAATCTTACCACAAGAAGTCCCCCTTCCCCCCCAAACCTCAGGGAGGAGAGGGAAATAACAACCAAGAAATCCAAAACGAGAGAGAGACAGCTAAAGCAATATATATAAATATATTTACACTTACGTTACAGTAATATACAATTGAAATATATATATATATAATTTCACAAGGGAAAGGGAAGGGGGAAGGGAAAAGGAACAAAACCAAAATAAAATATATATATATATCCCGATTAGTAGCCCAATATCTAGCAACTAAAAGAATTGGCTAAAAAACTATCTTACTACTCTCCTTGGGACAACGGAGAGTCGCTCTGGAATGATCGCCGGCAACCTCTGTCTCCCAAGATCGACAAGGCCTTACCAGGCCTCGCTCCCCAACACGGCAGACTCAACAGCAGGGAACCTGCACCTCCAAGCCGCCGGAAGGAAAGAGAGCGAAGGCCTCTTCTCCTTTCTTCTTATAGCCTGGCTTACGTAAAAATCGTAGGGAATACTGGGTAAATCTGGGCCCTTCCTTGGTTACAAAGTGGTCACCAAGGAAGGCCTAGACCAAACTACCACACCTGCCCACTTCATTATGCTTACAGTAAATAAATTCCCATTGATTATGATTACTGCACAGTTGCAGATTTGGAGGACAGATCTCTTTCAGTGCGGTCTGCTCAAAGCTTTAAAGAGCACTTAGCTATAGGACTCCTCATGCTCTTTGTGGTATCATATTAGAAAGATTCTTACAGGTGTCCATGTAATTCACAGATGAGTTGGTCTTTCTTTACAGAGACACATTGAAAGTGCTTTGTGCATGCTGTACTTCTTGAAAGAAACCTCATCTTGGCTTTTAGGGTTTCTTCCGACATAATTATCCATTTAAAACCACACTCCCTGGAGCTTTGGAAGAGTCACCCACAAGGCAAACTCTAAAGCTCTGTCTTGCATTTCCTGCTACTAAAGTATCGATGGAGAGGCACAGACAGATTACTCAGAGACCAATTTGATCGGCAAAATGTCCAATTTATTATTTAAATGAGTTAACTTTTATACAGTTTAGTTTGTTCTGGGTACATGCTTACAACAAGGTGGTTAGCTCAGTCTTTGCACGCGTCTCATGCTTTCAGTTTATTGGACCTGGTGCTCTGTCCACACGACCTGAAATCATTCTTGGCATGCTAAGTCCCTTCTATTGATCTGCCTTTAGGGGTTTTCCTGAGATCTGCAGGTGTCTCATTATTGAGACTTGGACATAATGGACTTGCCCCCAAAGAGCGTTGGGCAGATGCACATCACAGGAAAATTATCATCTCAAACAGTTCAAATTTGCAAAATGAAAAGCATATGGAAATGGGAGCTTTAAAGAATACATTTGTAAATTCAGGTTGTAGTATCTTCACTTCTAATGTTACAGGCATTATAGCTTCATTGCTGTATGGGGTGTGGGATTTGGTCTCAGACCAGTTTGGTACCAGTAATGGTGAACCAGCTTGCAATTTACATCTGCACGTTTCTCATCTTGCACCTGAGGTACTCATAATGTGCATTGCCTTGCTTAATTTGTTTTGTGATCCATGGGGGAATTTGTAATAGAATACCTCCATAGTAGAGAAAATGTTCTAGAAAACATCCAAAGTATGGTCTCACGTGTATAACTTCTCGTAGGCTTTTGCAGAGCATATCACTGTCAAGACATCAGTGTCACATTTGAAAATGGTTATGACATTTTCTCCCCACTGTGTGTTTTTTCTTTTTTGTTTTTTTTTTTCCACTTAGGGAATCCCTGTTGTCTCCGTAAGGAATATACTCTATTTTTTAAATGGATTTGGCATTTAAATTCTTGAAATTCTAGGAGGAATGGTTCATGTTCTGTATTTGTTGTGCACACACAGCTTGCATTTACAAATATAGTTTATCTTAATGTAAAAAGGATGGAACTGGTAGAACTGTATTTTTCACACGGAGTGTGTGTGCTGCTTAAAATCCAGTGTGTTGGTTTAAAAACACTCCTGTTTATATTATATTTAAAATAGTTTTTAATTTAAAAAATCAAGTTGCATGTAAAATGAAGGATATTTCTTATTGCTAATTAATTTTCTGTAATGTTACTGTAATTACAATGTTAATGTAATTAAAGCATGTAATGTGTTTATGTTGACGCTTGTGCAGCACTGATGGTAATGCAGAAACTGAATGTTTGAAATATCTCTCCCTGTGCCCCTCCCCCCCAATCTCTTCTTTCTCCCTTTTTCTGTTCTGCTTAAATACTAGAGTTGTTTCATGTGCTAGGAAACTAAACATTCTTGCCTTTCAGCCCTGCAGAAGTTTGACAGCCACAGGAGAGAAAACAGTTGATGCTTTTTGTTTGAACCATTGTAAACCAATGGTATATCTTGTTTTTTGGTGTCTAAACAGCTCTCTGTTCATTGTTTGCAGCCTCACAGAGGAGGTCTTTTGGGTGGAGAGGTAGAATTGCTTCACTTCTTGTGTTGGCTACAGATAGTCTAGCATTTAGATTTCGAGTTAAATATTATTGGTTAGCATATAGCTTTTTGTCAGTGGTCAAGTCCACAAAAAAGCTTTTTCAGTGAGCAAAGGTACAGCAAAGAAGTTCTATAAGGACAGCTTTTCATTCTGTGTAACATTGATTTAAAGGTCAACTGGACTGGAATTCAGTTAAGAGTTGCATTATATTTTTTCCTTGTGTGTGTATGTGACTGAATATACATTGATGAGTGCAAAAATGCACACAAAACCCCAGTAGTCACCACACCACCTCCCCCACCCCCTACTTTTTAATTTTCATGAGTTTACGTTCTAAAGTTTTGGTGAAACTGCTGTCTTACTGGTAGTGAAGTGTAATTATTAGACTGATCTTCCCAACCTTTAAAGGTCATGTTTGGCCATCACTTTTAAATGGAAGGTATTACTGGTTCTTCATTGTATTTGAGCCTGCTCAATTTGGTAAAGAAGCAGACTGAAATTTACACCATGTTAATACGAGTAGCTAGTTCTGGATCTGAAAATTTTGCAAAGCACATGAATATACAAGGGAAGCTAAACATTTTAAACTTCCAGACTTGTAATGTTTGGTGTGCTTAATGAATGAAACAGTTAGGTTGAAGGATAGCCAGTGTTTTGAGTACATCTCACTTCCAAAAGTCAGCTCGTCTGCGCAACTCAGCCACTGTGTGGACTTGTTAACATTAATACTGGGGTTTTTTTTAATGTGATACTCTGTCAAAAACAGGAAAAAAATCCCTCAACTCCATATTGTGACAGTATTCACAGGCACATGAGCAATCCATAGGAATATGTTATCCTACAAGAAAGATGTGAGCTAAACACAAATCTGAACTTCACTCTCAGTGGAGGACAAAGCAGCTAATCACAAGAGGAAGTTTAAAGTGCCTCAATTGAAGGCTGAAAGTGTCATAAAACAAAGATACCATATGATACCATCAGAGCTCTTGGAAAGCTATCCTTATCTGCTCTTTCTGCAGAAACCACCCTTGTTTTGTGAAAAATTAAGATATCTGAAAGTAACAGTTTAGAGCTACTGACTTCTGTCATGGTTTGTTGTTTTTTTTTTTTTGTTCCTCAAAGTTCATCCAAAAGCATTAACTGACTTGGGGGGGGTGGTAATATACAGTTATATTATAAAACCCCCAACCTTTTAAAAGAATCCAGTTGACTTTTAAAATCTTATTTTTTTTTAAACTCTCACACATTTAATGTCCATGTCTTCCACAACCATAGAATTCTGGTAATACTGTTTACTTGGAAAACACAATTTTGTCTTTAAGATGTCTTATCCCTTTGCTAACCATTCACTGCAGCTTGGACTTTTCAATTCCTTGGGAAGAGGACATTTGAACATTGCTTTTAAAAGACATACTTAAGATTGCTCTTTGACTTGAGTCTTTGGTCTTTGCAATCTATATGGTAATATTTGTGAGTTTGCAATCTAAGCATGAACATATGTTGTGATAATTTTTTTGTTACAGATTGAGCAATTTACTGCAAGTGGAGCAATCTGTTTACAAAACACAGTGGAAAATTTCTTGTGATGATTCCTAATATTTTACAAAAATACATCACAAAATACATATTTTTTGTTGCAACCTGAATTGGCAAAGTGTAAAAGAGAATATGGGGAGGATCTAAGTTTCACTGAGCTCATATCTGACATGTCTAAAGATCCAGGGGTTGTGCTGCTCTGTTCCATGTGGTTTTTTGTTTATTTGTTGTTTTTTTTTTTTTTTTGCATGTATAATTAGAATTTCGTTTTAGCAAATTGGACACAAGACAGATAGGAAAGATAGTGCTCAAAGTAATTTATTACTTAATCAGTGCTTTTTTTTTTAAATACAAGTGTAGAAACCCTTTAAACAGAAAGCAGACTAATTCTTACGGCATAATAATATTTTAAGACTTGCTAGGCAGAAAGAGGATGTTTCTTTTCTTTTGAGTATTAAAGTGCTAGAGCACTCCAAGGAGCTTAGCAAGTAAACTTTGGGGATTTAAAAGAGAAAAAAACCCCCAACTTAGACCCTCAGAGTGCTATCAATGAAAAGGGATGAGACATCTACATGTGCATGGGACTTCCCTGATACTGGATTGCTTTCCATAAGCAGTGTCACCAGTCTTTGCAGAGCATGGCTCATGATGGCAGTCTCATTTTGGTCCACCATGGGCAGAATAAAATGTCTCCATAGGGATAAATATGAATTTCAGATTGTATTTTTAAACTTGACCACTGCACCATGTTTGTTTTTTTTTCTTGTTGTCTTGCTTAGTCATTGTTTGCTCTCTGCTATAGCATATGTACCACCACAATGTATGATTTTCTTAGTTTCAGATCCTTTTTTGTAGCTGTTCTCTGCATGACACTGCATGCAAAGTCATCTTTTTGTTTAGGCAATTGTAGAAGTCTGTGTAGAAGATCTCTCTCTGTGTTCCTGTGTGCACTGCTAGCTTGGAGCATACATTGGAAATACAGTCTATGTTTCACTGCTGTTACTGTGCCTTGCATGCCTGTGTTGCTGTGTATGCCAAGTTACAGGTACTGAAGGATGTGCAGTTTGGGTAATTAATTCACTTCAAGTAAGTACTGAAGAAAAAATAAAATTAGGAAAAAAATCTCATCTTCCCTTAGCAAGACAGTTATACACCTGTGCTCGTGTTAACCATCCTTGTTACGTAATGCAGTCTATCTGTTCTGCTCAGAACCTGCAGAAAGGCACAAGACCAGCTGAGTTTGAGACTGTCAGTACACACTTACTTATGCTCTGGTTGTGGCTTCTTAGCTGACAATCATGTATAACTACCATGGGTCAAATTTCAAAGATACTTAAAGGAACTAATTCCTTATGGGAGTGTTGGTTTGGTGTTTTCTTGAAGAGACTGGAAAGGGCATGATAGGAATGGAGGTTCTGAATTGTTAGGTGAAACACCAGCAGGAGAACAGCACAAGGCAATTGTCTTGGGTAACATCAAAGGACACTTCAGAAAGAAATAAAGCATCAGCCTTTCTAATGAGAAAATACTGACTAAATACAGTGGAGAACAAATTTCCCTTTCAGAAGAAGAACCAGTTTCAACTCTAAGAATTCACCTTAAAGTCATACCTCCATTTACGAATTTGTTATCGTCCTGGTTTCGGCTGGAATAGAGTTGATTATAACTGGAGTACAACAATAATAAAAAAAATTAGTTGTGAGAGAGAGAGCAATAAAACCCAAGAGAAGCAAGTGATGTACAATGCAATTGTTCATCCACTGACAGGTGCCCAGCGTGTTTCAGAGCAGCAATCCACCACTCCTGGCTGAATCCCCCTAGTCTATATACTGGACAACGTTCTATGGTACGGAATATCCATTTGGCCAGTTTGGGTCAGCTGTCCTGGCTGTTTTCCCTCATGGCTTCTTGTGTACCTGCTCACTGGTAGAGCATGATAAAATGAAAATTTCTCGATTTAGGGCAAACTCTACTTAGCAACAGCTGAAATATCAGTGTGTTCGCAACATTATTGTCATACTGAATCTGAAACACAGCACTATACCATCTACTAAGAAGAAAGTTGTCTCTAACCCAGCTGAAACCAGAACAGTTAGTTATACCAATATGCAGTGCTCTCAAAGGGGTCTTAAAAGAACGTACCAGCTACAGAAGATGGAGTTTTTTTGTTTCTTTGTATGGAGAAGCTGGAAGAGTACAAGTTAAGCCTAAAGACTGGCTTAGCCTGCTCCTAAATTACATAAAGGATTCTTTCTGATAGTTGCGTCCTGGGCATTCATGAGTGAGACATGGGATGCACTCCCTGTCTGATAAACTCAACAACATTACCTTGTAAATAGCCTTTGAGTCTGTGTGAGCCATCCCCCTGACAGACTCCAAAGGCTCCTTAGGTCTGTGGCTTTTCTTGAACCTGTGATTTTATTTTGGAGAGAGAAGAAATTTGGGTGTAGCTGTTTGGTAGGAGTGCATCTGCTCGGCATCTTTTCCTTTTGAAATGAATAAAGATGGATGTACCCTGTGTAACAGTGGAGATCTGTGGTTTCTCAGTTCAGGGTAGAGGAATCTCTCAGGCATAAATACCTGAGGATCCTCTGTGGTGTGCTGGGCTTATTTAGCAGCCATCCTTTATCAAGGCCTTTTAACAAGCATCAAGTCAGCCTCTGTATTTTTTGACAAAATGATTTGGCTGACATGTCATACTGTTCTCTTGTTCCCCTTTTTTTATGATGTCTCTTGGGATGAGCAAGATAAATTTAACTAAGCCAAAGCAAACTTCAGGGAGCTCAAAGTTGGCTATATTTTTTCTGGGAGTAAGTAGTTTTGCTCTGGGAATAAGTGTCTTTCACTTCAATATGCTACAAAGCTGTTGCTCTCTATATGGGCAGTCAGCCTAAAAACCAACTGGCTTCCACAATGTTTTGTGTTTAGTGTTTCAAAACACTACAACTTAAGTGCATCCAAAACTAGATGAAGAAGATAGGATTGGAACAGCTAAATTTATTTTGACACAGTATTACATTTTTGAGGAGTAATGTCCCTTGGAGTCAGACATTAAACTACCTTGTCATGGTTATTCTCTTTGGCTTGGCAGACTGCATATGAATTGGTGTTGTACTAGTTTGGACAATGTGTTACAGTAGTTTGGTTCATACCTGTATGTCTTCTAAAATCTAAACCAGTTCTGTTTATGCTGCTTTTAAATTGGAATTTGGTGTCTACACAGGCAGAAAACGCAATTCACTGACTCCTAGATCAACTCTGTTTCCTTGTCCGGGTTGCCAGCGGGATATTGACCTTGGAGAACGTGGCATCAATGGCTTATTTCGCAACTTTACTTTGGAAACCATTGTGGAAAGATACAGACAGGCAGCCAGGGCAGCCATTGCTATTATGTGTGATTTCTGCAAACCTCCGCCTCAAGAGTCTACAAAGAGCTGCATGGACTGCAGTGCAAGCTATTGCAATGAATGTTTCAAAATACACCATCCTTGGGGAACTCTGAAAGCCCAGCATGAATATGTAGGACCAACCACCAACTTCAGACCCAAGGTAAGTATACCATATCTTACAGAATTTGAGTTGCAGAAGAGCATCTAAAATGGCACTGCCATAGGGAGGATGTGTGGTAAACTTAAAAAACCAAAACACCTGGCTTCCTCCATGCCCCCTTAAGGCACATTCCCCTTGGATGCTTTGTGCCTGATCCATCTTGAAGTATCTTCTTTCTCTCCTTCCTAGCATCTAGAAGAGAAAAATGTAATGGCAAATTTTCTAGTTTACACGCTGCTGCTGCTGTTGCTGCATTCAAAGCAGAGTGATTGCAAAGTGCTGTTAAATTTGCTTCTCCTTCTAAGTGTAGTGCAGTACATGGCAGTGCCTTATTGAATTCAAGTTGCACAACAGGAGAAACTGTCACAGATGCCATCTCTCTAACAAAGGACCACAACAGGTCTTAATGTCCCAGCACATGCTTTGTGCCTCTGGCTGGTGACCTTGCTGGAGGTGCCACAGATAACAGAAATGCTGATGGTCAAGGAGTCCTGATTAATTTTGATTAAATTAAGTAAATTCGATTAATGTGCGGTGTGTAATAAGGTCTTGACTTAGTAGTGTACCTTCCTTCTGAGACTGGACCTTCATATGCTTTCAAATGTGCTAGCACATACGTTGTATGAAATGTCCCTTTATGGGATAAATGAGAAAGGTGAAAGTTTCCATGCTGTCTTCTAGCTCTTGGTTTAAAATGCTGTACAGCTCCTTAAAATCTTTGCTTCTACGGTATCTAAACCTTCACAGCTGCAACATTGCTACTTGAAAATGCCAGAGGCATCTTGTGATCCTTAGGTATTCTTAAAGGTACCAGATGATCTTATACTACATGCAGACTGAATGTGGGGTTGAAAATCAGTAGTTGAATTTTGTTAAAGCAGAGCAAAGGGGGAAGAAGTGGTTTATATTGTTCTGATGTGGACGTATTGACTATGTCTGTGCATGTGAGGTTTAGCTCTTTTAAGTATATGTGAAGAACAGGGGGAAAGAAAGAAGAATAACATAGTATAGGTATATCAACTATAGATAGGTCTACTTTGTGGAAAAGCTTCCCAACATCAGTAAACTGATCTTTACTTTGCTCCTATAGAGACTTCTTTGAGGAATGTTTGAGTTCTATGTAAAGAAGGAAAAGTGCATTTTTCATTGCCCTGCATTCTGAAGACCTGAGCTGAAAGCATAGTTGTTGGTTTCCTAAACAATGTTGACAGTTGTCACTTTAATTTACCAGCAGACTGGAGAGCACTTTGTAGTGTGTGTGGTGTGGATGGGAGAAGAACATACTGGGCTGATTGTTCTTGAGTTTTGAGAGAACTAGACAAGGTAGTCTGCTGACCTCTGCTGTCTCTAGCTCTCAGGCTGTAATTCTTGTTTATTTGAGGAGATGAATAAAAATACATGTTTTCTGTTAGGTGTGGTTATACGCTGCTGTGGAAAAATAACTTCCACAGACTAACTGAATGACTGTAGTTTTTGGAGATATCTGCCTGCAGAATTGATTTTCCTGGCAGTTTTCTTTTTTTTCCCCCTTTTTTCTTTTTCCTTCCAAATCCAGTAGTCAATGAAAACGGGATTGCTTATTGCATATTTGGCTTAATGATAGTCTCAATGTACCAAGGCACTAGTGAGACTGGTGTCTTTGGGCTTTTCACCATACCCTAAGATAACATTTGAGGTTTGAAAGTTGGTTTCAGAGACGGTCTGCAGTTTAGCTTGTTTTGTCTATATTTGTGCTACTCACAGTTTTCTATTTTTGTGCCCTTTCCTGTCCTTTCTGTGTATGGGCATCTTGAAACTGAAAAACTTCTCAAAAGCTATTCTTTGGTAACTTCTATGGAATAGGTGGTCCAAGTGTTGCCTTGTAGTGCTCTGGAATGAGGCAAAGCATTGTTTCTTTTTTTAAACCAATACACATACACCCCCCCTTCTATATGGTTTTATCTGTTGCTTGAACTTGGAGTTGAGTGGCACAGTTTTTTCTCTTTGAGCAATTATTTCAATGTGTTCAGTTTTTGAAAGATGATTTTTAGCGAACACCATTTTTTTTGCAATGCTGTTTAAGCTGATCCTGGAATTAGCATCAGTGTGAACAACTTGTAGTTGGAGTCAGACAGAAAGATTGAAACACTGGAGCCTTTTGTCTTTAAAATAATTGTGGCTGGTGGTGATGGTTTACTTTGTTGCTCCAAGACCAGTGACTATGTGGTTTATCATATAAATTGTTGCGGTGTTATGTCAGCTCTTGTGTTAAGAAACAGTTCATAGCTGTTTCAAGAGAGGCTGGCATGAACTTTTTCCATTTTTTTTTGTTGTTTGTTTTTTTGTTTGTTGTTATGGTTTTTTCGTTTTGTTTTGGTTTTTTGTTTGGTTTGGGGTTTTTTTGTTGGTTTGGTTTGGTTTGGGTTTTTTTTTGTTTGTTTGTTTTGATTTGTTTTGAGTTGGGTTGGTTTGTTTTGTTTTGTTCGGGTTTTTTTGTTTGTTTATTTGCTTGACAGGCTGGGTATGTTATACATTGCATTTACATCTCTGATCAGGAGTGTAGGGAGCTGGAGGCATGCAAACAACTTGGGTGGGGATTAGCAAAAGGGTTGGTTGCGGTATGGAGGCTACATGGCATGTTGGGTACACAGACATTGTTAGACGAAAACCTTGTGAAACTATGTGACATTGACAAATATAATATGTGGAAGATAAACTGACTATAAAGAAAATCCACTGATGAAATCTCAGGCTGCTTTGGGTTAATTGCTTTGATGATTTGTTGAGCACCTCGGTTTTATAAAGTAAATCTCTATTCTTTCTGCTTTTTTCCCCCTCCCACAGATTTTGATGTGTCCAGAACATGAAATGGAGAGGGTAAACATGTACTGTGAAATCTGCAGAAGGCCTGTTTGTCATCTCTGTAAACTGGGTGGATGTCATGCAAACCATAGAGTAACAACCATGAGCACTGCCTACAAAACCCTTAAGGTAAAAGTAAATATCATTGGACCTGGCTTTAAGACGAGGAAGAGTATTGAGCTTCTGGTGTAAGGGCAAACTCCCTCTGGCTGGAAGCCAGGACATGTGTTTAGGAGACCCTGAACTACTCTTGAGGCGTGCTCTTGTGCAACATTGGTTAATGTACATATTAGTGTACCGTAGTTCATGTCTTAGAAACTACACTGTGTTTTCTGTGAGGCTTGAAACATAAACCCTTACAAGTGCTTTCATCTAATCTTAGCCAACTGTACAGGAGTACGTACAATGCAAAAAGTTTAAGCAGTTAATACTTTGCAGTCAATTTTTTTTAATATAAATATTCTGGTAGCTTGGGGTAGCTGATATTTCAGAAGCACTTCTGAAAAGTTTGCATCAGAAGTATCTGTTGGGACCTTGAATGTTTCTGAAGTTGCATAGCTGTTAATTTCCTAAACAAAGCACAACAGGGAAAACTTGCAAACATTGCTTTGTTAATAAATGATGATTGCTCCTATTTCCTCCTTTTCCTTTTCTTCCTCCCTTGCTCACAGGAGAGAAAAAAAAAACAAAACAGACTAGCCTGCGTTATGCTCTTTGGCCTCCTCAGCAGTTTGCAAGGCTTTTCCTGTACAACTGCTAACTCTTGCAGCTAAGGAAGTACAGACACCCTCATAATACTGTCATTTGATCCACTCATTTTTCTAGCATATTTTACTACAAGTGAGTTAATAACTAACAACTCTTTTCTGTAAGTTTTATTAATGTCCTGAAGCCTCAAGTTCCTAACCTAAGAGAGGGTGACTCCTGGGTGGCTGGAGAGGAATGAGCCTGCTGACACTGTTACCTCTTGTCCTTCAAGGCTGTGTCCCCAGTCCTGCTGTCCTTGTGCAGTCACCTCAGGTCACCAAGCAATTCTCCACAGGGTTGTTGCTCATAACTGGTTGTAGGCTGTTGTCCTTGTGACTATGTAAACTGAGCACTAGCTTGATGACCTGCCTGTGCTGGTTGTCACTTTGTGGTGGATACCCTTATTCTGCCATCTTACTGTTTTATTTCAACAGGAGAAGCTTTCAAAAGATATCGAGTACCTCATCAGTAAGGAAAGCCAGGTGAAAGCTCACATCACACAGCTGGATCTGCTGCTGAAAGAAACAGAGGTAAGAGTGGCTTGCAGGTTGTCTGGAGATGCCCCTTAGAGACACAGCAAGGACTCAAAACTGTTTTCAGTGAAGTGTTGCAAACTTTGGGTTTTTTCAGTTAAGTAGTAAAGCAGTTTCTGAACAAATTGTGTTAACAGTGAGGTGAGACCTAACCCTGTCAATGTGAGAAATAGGGAAGCATACAGAGGAAAGGTAATTTTTGCGTGCCTCTGTAAATGTAAATAAAACAAAGCTTAATTGATACCTTAACCAAAGGCAGGTGCGTTGGACTTACGGCATTTGTGTATTAAAGGTGCTGCACCATTAAGACTGCCTGTTTACCTTGAGGAGGTCAGAATTAAGGGCAAAATCTCCCTGCAGAAGAGTCACAGCTGGAACCTCACACACAAGCTGAAAAACGCAAAAGAGAAGTTGGAGGAGTTCCTGTGTGTCTTGATCACAGATTGCCTCTGTGCTTTGCAGTTCCTTTTATTGAGGGCAGTAGTCGGAAAGGACATTACAGTTCAGAGGGTATACATGAGAAACTCAGCTGGATCCTCGGTTCAGAGTTATTGGGGAACGTGGAAGAGCACATAGCTCTTGTGCATGAGGATTTCAGAGACTGACCTGTTTTTAAGTGCTTTTTCATGAGCTATTTTGACAAATGTAATGTAGAACTCAAGACATAATCAGAGGAATACCTTCCTGCTCTTCATTCTCTGTGTTAAGACAGTAAATGCTGACTAGCTTGGGTGCAGTGCTGATCTCATTTTCAGTGCTAAAGAGCATAACAAAGCTCATTAGTGTTGTCTGTGAAATGGATGATTAGATCACTATGATATCTTGAACAAACTTAAGTATGTTTCTGTACAGAGCCACAGTGCTGTGGAATCTGTCTAAAATGTCTTTTGTTTGCTCCTAGTGCAACAGTGAAAGAGCTAAACAAGAAGCATCTCAGAGCTTTGAGAAATTATATCATGTTCTGGAAGAGAAGAAATCTGCAGCTCTTAGGGCAATTGAAACTTCTAAGAATATAAGGCTGGAAAAATTGCAAACGCAGGTGGAAGAATATCAAGGGCTCCTGGAAAATAATGGCCTTGTAGGATATGCTCAAGAAGTGCTTAAAGAAACTGATCCCTCTTGTTTTGTTCAAACAGCAAAACAACTTCATGTCAGGTACCTTAAAATATATTGTGTTTGAGATACAGGTACTGTTCCAGGGCTTCCATGTTGTTGTGTTCTTTTGGCACCTGCTAGCAAAGTACTGAACACAGTACCTTACACTTCAGAGGCTCAGGAAATGGTCCTGGTACTGTTCAGTCAAAATTGCTACAGTAGAGTGTGCATTAGGAAACAACACACAGGAGAGTAAGAACTCTGTCCTGCAAACAGTGCCTAGCCCTGTTTGGTGGGATTGCAGTGGAAGGGTAGTCTGTTCGGCTCCCTGACAAATTCCTTTGCTCAGAGATTGTATCAGGTACTTGCAAGTTAATCTAGCAGGTTTCTTCTGGCTTTAAGCTCTTTGATATTTATGTTCTCTACTAGCCCTTCACATCTATGTTGTTCTTTGAACATAATGCTCCAAACTGTTTAAATGCTTTCCCACCTGAACAATTACCTGTGCATTATGTTTACGCTGATGTACAAAAGGCCTTTAAATTTTGCATTTGAATTCTGTCTAGAGAGACAAAAATTTCTGGGAGACATCAGTAAGTACATGAAAGTGGAACTTTTTTTAAGCACAAACTAGCATTTTTACTTTAAGGAATGCCTACTTGAATTCCCTTTTCTCTCTTCTGCTATTCTGCTGCTTCTGTTTTCAGAATCCAAAAAGCTACTGAATCTCTGAAGACCTTTAGGCCAGCAGCTGAAACTACTTTTGAAGACTTTGTGGTGGACATTGCTAAGCAAGAAGACATCCTTGGTGACTTGTCCTTCCATTCCAATGGTAAATTCTGAGGGCATCAAATCTTTCTCAATTTATGGCTTTAAGGGCTTCTCTGGGGAAAGGCAAAACTTACACAGGGCAGCAGTTGCAGAGCTCAGTCTTGTGATGTGACTTGCATTGTCCCTTCTGTGTCTGTAATCCTGAAAACATTACCTGGCAGCAGTGTTATCTTCAGCTTTCATAAGAAAGCTAAGATGCCACTAGATTCAGTACCAGTTTACACTTGCTTCCAAAATATTGTAGTTACATCATACTCGGTCTTCCTAGAAGCTTCTTATTGCATGGCAGAAAATACTAGGTTTTAATACATTTATTTTTTGGCTGCCAGAAATAAAGGCTTGAGCTTTTCAAAGTAGAAACAAAAATTAAGAGATTTACTTAAGTGCATGAACAGAAAACCACCCTCATCTGCTCTCTTTAACTGAGTGAGTCAGATTCACTCCTTACACAGGGCTATAGCCACTCAACAAATGGGTTGGATGGTTAATTCTAAAACAAAGTATATCTAAATTTGAGGTTTTTTTTCTCATTTATTTCAGGTCTAGAAATACCAGAAATCAATGAGGAGCAGAGCAGAATGTACAACCAAGCTCTGATCAGTTGGGAATGCCCTGGGAAGACAGACTCAGCTGACATCTATGTTCTTGAGTATCATAAGCTTAATAGAGAAGAGGAGAATGTGACATGGCAGAAGACTGAAGTTTGTGGCAAGAGCAAAGTAGTGTCTGATCTAGATGATGACAGCAGCTATGCCTTTAGAGTTCGAGGATATAAAGGGTCCATCTGTAGCCCTTGGAGCCGAGAAGTTATTTTGCGTACACCTCCAGCTCCAGGTATTGGGTTTTCTTATGTGGTGATTCTATGTCTGTCAGTGTTAAGAGCTGTAAGTACTTTCCAGTAGCTCCCAGATGTCCACTACATGGTTACCAGTTGCATAAATGTTTAGAAGCACTATTAAAAGTTAAGTAGGTAACATACAGAGACTGGTTGCTTGCATGACATTCCTGGTAGCGTTTAAAAGTGAGAAATTCTAATGCCAGTGTGACTTATAATGTAGTTTATAAGCACAGAAGGCCAAATAGTTAACTAAGCAGAATTTTTTTGGGATACTGTTTTTCAGTTTTCAGTTTTCTTTTTGATGACAAGTGTGGGTACAACAATGAACATCTCCAGCTGAACCCAAGAAGAACTTCTGTGGAAAGTAGGGCTGGATTTCCTTTACTGCTGGGATCTGAGCGCCTGCAGGTTGGATGTTACACAACCCTGGATTACATCATTGGTGACACTGGGATTGCCAAAGGGAAGCACTTCTGGGCCTTTCGTGTGGAAGCCTATTCATACCTGGTAAAAGTGGGAGTTGTTCCTAGCAACAAGATACAGAAATTGTTCCACAGTACCCCTGATGTGACCAGTCCAAGGTAAATTGCAGACTCTGCTTAATGTATACTCTATATAAGGAGATGGCTGTTTAAAAAGTAAATTAAGGGCAAGTCTGGTCTCAGTATGCAAGGTGAGCCTAACCAGTGAAAAGTGGTTTGAAGAATGTGGTATAAGCAGGTTGTCCTGTTCATCCCTACTGTTAACAGGAAGATGTTCTGATATCCAGAGTCCTATTTTGTTTCTTTTTAGGAAAGAAGTCAGATTCCTGTAGATGTAAAGGCATGTCAGTTAAAGCAAGAAGGTTAAAAAAAAAGCGAAAGTTGTAAGTTCGAAGCAATGCTTAATTATCAGTGGTAAGACTCTGCCTTAATTCCCTTAGGGAATCCCCTTTACTGGATTTGGCAGCCATTCAGAGGTACAATGTTCACTGTGCATATTTGCATATTTTTCCAGTAGCTTGCTTCACAGTCACTGGCTTATCCCAGGCTGTATGCTTACATACAGTACTGGAGTGCTACAGTACTAAGCACAAGCCAAAGTACAGTGGGCAAACTAATAAAAAGATATCCATCTCTTAATTACAGTTGTAGCAAGCCTGGATGTGTGTAGGAACTGCAGGCTGGGAGGCTATCTCCTGGGGACTCTTTTTCAGAAATTTAACAAATATATTGGCTTCCACCTGTGTAGCACACTGGAAGTGTGTCAACTCGATCTTGAGCTGATTAAAGTCGGAGCATTTTTGCAAAGTGAAAAATTAGATCCAAATTTCTTGATTTCTTTTTCCTTATCGACACATATATCTGCAAAACTTTAGCCAACGCATATCCAACTGCTGCTCAAAGCCCCCGAAACTGAAACCCCTGGAATCCCTAGGTAGGGATTGCCTGCACTGAAAAATGTGTGCTTTTCTGGTATGTCTTTATTGGACAGAGGTCAGGGGAAAAACATGTAGACTGAGCAGATATGGCTAGGACCTTATCCAGTAACCATATGGGAAGTGGTCCAGAAAAGCCTTCAGACAGAGCACTTAAAAAAAAGCCCCAAAAATTAAACCACTAAGCCACTATCTTTTGTTGTGAATTTTAAAGATACTGTAATATAGCAGCAGTATGGAAAACTCACTGGACATCATCTTATCTGTAAGAATTAGTCATTTCTGCTAAATTACTTCTCAAGTTAGCTAATTTACTATACCTGTAGGTTCATTAATGATTGCCCAGCAAAACTACGTTTAGACACATCCGCTCCTTAGTAAAGCCTTTTGTGGTCTTGTCCTTATTAGAGTTTATTATTTGAAGTGGCCCAAGTGAGTGTTCTCCACCTACTAAATGTGTCTTCTTTCCTGGCTTAGGTGTGTATCACTGGTGTAAGCAAGGCCTGGTGGGAGGAGTCCTGTGACTGGTGTGCCACCTTGGATGGTTGCAGGCTCTTCAGGAGGGACAGGCAGGGCAGGCGAGGCAGTGGGGTGGTGTTGTGTGTAATGGAGGGGCTGGAATGTATGGAGCTTGCAGTTGGTGATGGCACAGTTGAGAACCTCTGGGTAAGGATTAAGGGACAAAGTAGATGTCATCCTGGGAGTCTACTACAGGCCACCCAGCAAAGATGATGACACTGATGAATTATTCTTTAAGGAACCAGGGGACATCTCTCCATCAACTGCGCTTGTCCTTATGAGGGACTTCACCTTACCAGATGTTAATAGGGAGCATCACACAGCTGGCACAAACAGGTCCAGAAGACTCCTAAAACACATGGATGATAACCTTACGGTACAGGTACTAAGGGAGCTGACTAAGAAAGGTGCCCTCCTTGATTTGTTCTTTTTTAGCAGTGAGAGTCTCATGAATGAATTGGTGATTGGTGGCTGTCTTGGCCACAGCAACCACAAAGTAATTGAGCTTTTGCTGGAAAAGTGCCAGCAAAGCTTCAACTCTGGACAGGAAGAGAACAGACTTCAGGCTGCTCAGGGAACTAGTGAGTAAGGTCCCCTGGGAAAATGCTATTGAAGATGCTGATCATTTTTTAAGCACCACCTGCTAAGGGCACAGGACCAGGCAATTCCAAAATTTCAGAAGTCAAGCAGGCAAGGCAGAAGGCTGACTTGGCTGAGCAGAGATCTTCTAGACTTAAGGCAAAAAAAGAAAGTAAGACCAATGAAAGCAAGGTTGGGCATCATGGGAGAAATACAGAGTTGCCACTTGCTACTGTAGGGAGAAAATTCACATGGCCAAAGTCCAATTGGAATTGAAGCTGGCCAATATTGTGGGGGACAATAAAATGAGGGTTTTTTTTAAAAAATTTAATACCCAAAGGCAGTCAGAAATAACATTGGCCCATTACAAGATGGGGATGGTCACTTCACTAACAGGAGCATAGATAAGGCAGAGGTCTTTAGTGCTTTATTCACCTCAGTTTTCAACACCAGGGTGATGGGCTCTAGGGGTCCCAGAGCTTGAGGACTATGACTGTGAGAATGATCAACTCCCAACCAACCCCAAACTTGTGCAGGATTTTCTGTTCCACCTGAATCTCTATAAGTCTGTGAGGCTTGAGGGGATTCACCTTTAGGGTACTGAGTTGGTTGGTGTCATTGTGAGATCTCGCTAGTATTTCAGTGGTCTTTAGAGGTCTCAGTCAACTGGAAGCTGTTAAATGTTCTGGTTTTTGAGAAGGGCAGGAAGGATGAATCTGGTAGCCACAGGCCTGTCAGTCTTGCTTCAGTGACTGGTAAAATTATGGAGAGGATTTTTCTGGGAATTATTGAACAAAACCTGAAGGACAGTGCAGTCATCAGTCACTGCCAGCACAGGTTCACAGGGGGAAGTCCTTCTTGAAAAACTTACTTTCCTTTCATGACAAAGGTAATCCACCTAGCTGACCAAGGGAAGCCACTTGTAATTTCTTTGTGTTTCAGTAAAGCTTTTGATACTGCTTCTCCCAGGATCCTTCTGGATGAAACACCCAGTGCACTGCTGCATAAATAAATTGTATGTTGGGTGAGCAACTGGCTCATGGATTGGGCACAAAGAGTTTTAGTGAATGGGGTAGCATCAGGCTGGTGACTGGTTACCAGTGAGATTCCACAGGGCTCTCTCATCGGCCCAGTTCTCTTCAATATCTTCTCAAATGGATGCAGGACTCAAAGGTACATTAAGTAAATTTGCTGCTGATACTAAATTGGGAGAAGATGTTTACTCCTTAAAGGCCCTGCAGAGAGATCTCAACGAATTAGAGGACTGGACAATCACCAACCCTATGAAGGTTAAGAAAGATGTGCTGAATTCTAAGCCTGGGATGGGGGAACCCTGGATACACGGACAGACTGGGGAATGAGATGCTGGAAAGCAGTGCCATGGAAAGGGACCTGGGAGTCCTGATCAACAACAAGTTGAATATGAGTCAGCAGTGCCCTGGCAACCAGGAGGGCCATCCGTGTCGTGGGGGGCATCAGGCAAAGCATTGCCAGCTGGTTAAGGGACAGGATTGTCCCTCTCTGCTCTGCCCTGCTGTGGTGTCACCTCGAGTCCTGTGTGCAGTTTTGGGCACCATAATACAAAAAAGACATTAAGCTGTTAGCATCCAAAGGAGGGCTATGATGATGTTGAAGAGTCTAGAAGTGAAGCTGTATGAGGAGCGTCTGAGGTCATTTGGCTTGTTCAGCCTGGGGAACAGGAAACTGAGGGGAAGCGGAGGGACAGGTACAAATGTTTTCTTCCTGGTGACCAGTGACAGCACCCAAGGGAACGGCATAATGCTGTGTTGGGAGGTTTAGGCTGGATATTAGGATAAGGTTTTTCACCCAGAGGGTGGTCAGGCACTGGAACAGGCTCCCCAGGGAAGTGGTCACAGCACCAAGCCTGACAGAGTTCAGGAAGTGTTTGGACAATGCTCTCAGACACGTGATTTGATTATTGGGGTTGTCCTGGGCAGGGCCAGGAGTCAGACTTTGATGATCCTTGTGGGTCCCTTCAAACTCAGGGTATTCTATGATTCTCTGATATTCTTTGAGGTTTTTGTGGGTGATCGTGTGGTGTTTCCTTTCTTACAAACATGTTTTCTCCAGTTCACATCGCTTCAGAATTTGACAAATGCACATGGTTGTTTTTCTGTTCCAGATACGAGCAAGACAGTGGTCATGACAGTGGGAGTGAAGATGCCTTCTTTGACTCATCACAGCCTTGCACACTGGTCACTTTAGGCATGAAGAAGTTCTTTATCCCCACTACACCTGCTGCTCTCAAGGATCCAGCAAGCAGAATCCTTCCCCTGCCGTCATGCTTGGGCATTTGCCTTGACTGTGACAGAGGCAGGGTAGGGTTTTATGATGCAGGCCGTATGAAATGCCTTTATGAGTGTGAGGTGGATTGCTCTGGCATAATGTACCCAGCATTTGCTTTAATGGGTGGTGCTGCAGTTCATCTTGAGGAAGCTGCCACAGCAAAGTACAGGGAGTACAATGACGACATCTAGTGCGGTGATCTCTTCCCATTGCTGTTCTGAGATGGAAAATGAAAGCAGAAGAATTCTACCTTAGTTTTCAGTCCTGATTAATTATATTCTACCTACGTGTTGCTCACAAGCCTCTGGCCCATGTTTTTTTGAGATAAACAGTCCAGGCACTTTCCGCACTAAAGGAATTCTCCTGCCTTTCTTGTGATCTGTGCAATGCTGTCCTCCACAGATTTTTTTCCTGGGGGAAGCAGGGAAGAAGTTTGACTAGCAACCAAAATTTGCTCTTCAGGACTAGCAACCAAAACTTACTCTTCAGGGGTAGAAATCTGCCTTTTATTTAACTTAAATCCTTACATAGTCAGTTTTGTATTTAATGAAGTCAAAGCTGACAGTGAGTGATTGCTATTCTTCTTTTAAGAAATCTACCTGAATGCCTCTGAGGGGTCAAATGTTTTCCTGTTAACCCCTGAGCACCAGTTGGGCCTTTCAGCACAAAATAGCATTCTAAAAAAATGCAATATAAAACAGGAAGAAATGAGAAATCAGGAATGCTGTTGAACATTTAAGTTATACTTGGAAAGAGGAGGGTAAACTTGAATATGATTGCATGTTGTATACCTTTAATGTGATTGTAAGCTGAAACTCAAGTTCTGACACATGGTGTCATATAGTTGGTGGCATAATGGTAAGTTTCTTTACTCTTCCATGCTTTTACTATAAGCTATTTAAAATAAAGTGCAATTTAACCTTAAAAGTCAGAATTTGGAGTAAAAAATCAGAAGTATTTGCATTTGTGAATAATAGTACCTGGTATTTAAGCAAAACCAAGGGGGTTATTGACATGAGTAATCATATGTGAACTTGAAAAAAAAATCAGGTATTTCTTTTAATACTCACTCTTATAGGTTAATTTTTTTTATCTAGTAGCAGCTTGGGTTTTTCTTAGTAAGAATGTTAAAAGTGCACTGATTAAGTTTTGAGACCTAATTTCTGCCTTAAAGGATGTCTCCCTTCAACTTTCAGTTCCTGTAATGTTAAAAACTTTATCACACAGTAGTTTTTCCTAGAATCATAGAAACACAGAATAGCTTGGTTTGGAAGGGACCTTTAAAGACTGTCTAGTTCCAGTGCTCATGTCATGGCAGGGACACCTTCCACTCAACCAGGTTGCTCAAAGCTATGTCCAACCTGACCTTGAACACTTCCAGGGATGGCAGTTTGAGCCACGTTAGAAATCCAAAATCCAATTTCCAGGCTTCCCCCCACCCCTTCCCACAATTTATCCCAACACCGGAGAGAAACTTTCAGGCCAGAGGCTTCTATAGGGGAAGGGGGAAGTATATACATTAATTTTACACAAATAAATACTATACAAACTAACGCCAACTATATATATATATTACATTTCTATCAGTCCTTTTAAGCCCCTCTCTTTAACTTTAGTCCAGGAGAAGCCTTTTCAGGCTGCTAAGTAACCAGTCTCTCCCTTGTGGGAGTGTTCGGGGAACCCCAACGCTCCCCCCTCACCAAGCTCTAGCTGTTTGTGGAAGTTTTTCCTCCTCACAGAGTCCAAGAAGATAGCTTTGAGTCTTTTCTCCTCGGTCTGCTGCGTGATCTCTCTTTCTCAGTCTCATACCTCGGGTCTGTAGGCTGCTGCAGTGTAGTTCAGCTTATCAAGCGTCCTCCGAGTCAGTTCTCAGCTGCCCCCGGTCAGCTTTGGCGGGGCAACTACCGAGCTCTTGGCCCATCTCCAATTTCACCTGGGATTCTTCTCCCGAGCGCCGAGCCTCCTTCTCTGGCCCATCTCTTGGCTCAGCTTCAATGCTGAGCCTCTCCTCCACTTTACAGCAAAGGGAAAGAAAAAAAAGCCCCCCTCCACAGCTTAACTGCAGAAAGGAGAGGGGAGAGGGCTTGGCTCCAAAGCCTGCCTCTCTCCTCTTACCTCAGGTGCTGTGAGTCGCGTCCCTCACAAACACTCACTCCAAATGCTGCCTCTAACTCTGGCCTAGGCAGAGCTGGGGGCTGCAGGCCTCCCCCTCCCCCCGGGAGGGGGAAAGAAGGAGCCCAGCCACCCCCTGGCCTTCTCCACCCACATGCAGCAGACACCAACAGAAACACTGCCAGCAGCTTCTGGTGCTGTGATATATGATTTTTCAGCAGAAGCGAACAACATGAATGGTGATTTACTCTCCAGGGAACACTGCCCTGGCACCCAATCACCTCTGAGCCCCTGAACTCTCAGGGGGGGCCAATTTCAAACTATGACAGATGGGAAACCACAGCTTCTCTGGGAAACCTTCTCCAGTGTCTTAGCACCCTTATTGTTAGAAATTTCTTCCTTATATCCAATCTAAATCTAAGCTCTTTTAGTTTAAAAGCATTGTCCCTCGTCCTGTCTCTACAGGCCTTGGTAAAAACTCTCTCTCTCTCCCCCTTCCTCCATCTTTCTTTTAAGCCCTTTTTGTACATTGAAAGGCTGTAATAAAGTCTCTCCAGAGCCTTCTCTTCTCCCAGCTGAACAACTCTAGCTCTCTCAACCTGTCTTCACAGGAGAGGTGTTCTAGCCCTCTGACAATTTTTGTGTCTCTCCTCTGTACTGGGAGCCCTAGAGCTGAATGCAGTACTCCAGGTGGGATCTTGGTAGAACAGAGTGGGAGAATCACCCTGATGGCCACCCAGTAGCCCAGGATACTTTATGTGCTCCAAGCACACATTGCTGGTTCATGGCCAAATTTTCATCCACCAGGATGCTCAAGACCTTTCTGTAGGGCTGCTCTCCATCCCCTAGTCTGTGTTGATACTGGGGATTACCTGGATCCAGGTGCAGGACCTTGTGCTTGGTCTTGGGGAACCTCATGAGATCCACATGAACACTGGTGCCAGTGCAGACCCTTGAGGGACACTACTCATTACTGGTTTCCACTTGGGCATCGAGCTATTGACTGTGACTCTTTGGATGTGGCTATCCAACCAATTACTTATCCACTGAACAGTCCATCCAATCAAACCCATATCTTTCAAGTTTAGAGGTAAGAATGTTATGGGGGATCCTATCAAAGCCTTAGAGAAGTCCAGGTATATGATTTCTGTCACTCTTCCCTTATCCACTGATGCAGTCACATGGTCACAGAAGACCACCAGGTGAATCAGGCATGTGAACTCATGTTGGCTGTCCCTGATTACTTTCTTGTCTTCCATAAGTTTTGACTTATCTTCCAGGTGAATCTGTTACATGATCTTACGAGACATGGAGGTGAACTGCCTCTATTTATAGAAACCTATATATAAAAGAATAGGTTGCTTGCACTGTCAACTTGTGGAAAAGTAAGGATCTAAAGTGAAGGATGTTTCTGATAAATACTTGGTGCTTTCTAATTTGGGGATATGCTTTGTAATTTGGGGATATGCTTTGTAATTTGGGGATAGTGTTTCATCTTGATGAATGTGTGTGAAGTATGCTTACTAAGTACATGTATACAGCTGTGAAATGAGAGCTGTGTATAGAGCTGTGAAATGAGACCTGAAAATCACAATACAGTTAAATGAATGTAGGCCATAATGCAAAACTTTTGTAGGCTTTACTGTCTGAACTGTTGTACTAATCTGATCTGTACAGATCCACCCCTTCCAGTGTTCTCTCTCCTAAGCCTCTAACTGGTGGCCACTGTCAGAAAAACTTGGCAGAAATGTTATCTGCTCCAAGGTGAGCATAACAGCCCACTTGGGGCTAGAAAGGCCCAGCAAGGGCAACTTCTTGTCTGGGTCCATCTGCAAGTATTTCTATCTTGGTAAGTCTGTGTGGAAGTGCACTCCCCAGCTTCAGTGTGGGGTTGTGTGAGAAACACTTTCCTGTCCCAGGCAGCAGATGTGAAGCAGAGGATATCTTCTGGAATTTTCTCCTGCAGGAGAAAAGGCAAGTTGTCCCCCACTAGTTATCCTTTAGGTAATTTCTTTTGTGATAGGTGATTATCATCATAGCCTTTCATTTCTGTCATTCCTTCTCCTTCATCTTTCCTCTTGCTGGATTGAAGCCATTGCCCTCTTCTCGTCTTCTGAGGCTGACTGAAGAAGCCCTCCATAAGATACTGTTGCTGTGAGGGATGAAAACATTTTGAGTTTTCCTTCTTTCCATAGCCCTAAAATTGTATTTGCCTTTTTTCGTTGATACTAAGCTGATGTTGATGAAGCTTCTCCCTTGTTTTCCATGCAGTCCTGATGGTTAGTTGTAAACAAGCTTTGCACATAGGGATTTCCCCACCCGGTGTGTTGTTTTGCATTTGTTAATGTTGATAATGCTTGTTTACCTAGTCACAAAGTTCTGAGGGCCTTCTGCAGCTCGTCAATCACTTCTAGACCTGGATGTTCCTGAGTAGCTTCATAGGTAACACAAACATGACCGTTTGTTTGTTTGTTTCCAGGTCTTGGATTAAATTAAAGTTGTAATGAGACACAGCAAGTCTATCTACTTTTAAAACTTTTCCTTCCTCCCACTTTTTTTACCCTTCAATATTTATTAAACCACGAGTCAAACACTGAAAACTCTTACATACTGATACACTCTGTTGAGTAGGTGACACTTGAGTGCAGCAGTCAAGTAGACCCCGGAGAAGGGATTCTCACTTCAGTAGCTGTGACTTCTCCTATTGTATAATTGGCATTTGTTGGTTCATCTACCAAATGTAACATTGGCTTAAAGCTATATCATAGGGTTGAACTTTCTGATTTCTTGTTTCCAGACCAAATCTCCTTCCTTAGAGAAATGTTTCACTTTTGATTCCTCTGTTTCAGAAATTGGTCTAAATTTGAGGGTTTATGTTGTGGTTAGCACTCTGCAGTTCCACATTTAGATTCTTTATAAGCATCTGGATCGATATCACCAGGCCTTTTGCTACTTTATGGAAATATTCATAAATGGAACACTCTATCTTAGATATGAAGACAGTGCCTCAGACTCATTGATTTAAAAAAGGGGATTACTGGTTGAGAATACAGAAGTAAGAAATTAAAATTTTAAGTTTTTTTTTTCCTACTATAGTTTTAAATTCATTTAGGATGTGTTCTGCTATGCAATTACTTACTCTATGGGACAGAAACTGACGCTGCTTTAAACCTTTATCTACCTTTTGATATATCTGTTTGAATTTATCTCATTCTGAGTTTAAAAATTGGTTTGGCTTTTGGTGTTACTTGAATACTTAGTATGCATTCCAGACAGTACTCTTCGGTGCTTACTTCAGCTTATTAAATAAAAAAACACACTGTCAAGAGGCACTGACAACATGCTGTGATATTTTTTCCACTACCATGGAAGCGTCAACTTTCAAAAATGCAGTTCAGCAGTACTTGCCTATCCAGATAATTATTTTTTCAAGTTTATCCCTATGAAACAGCACTTTACAATGTAGACTAAGCTAAAAATAGTGTGATAATGTGTGGATCTTTGTGCAATATAGCTGTTTGGTGACTATGGTGTGACTTGCAAAGCTTCATGCAGGTGTGAATCGTGTAAACACGTTTTAGATAATCTAAAGCTTTAACAGAAGGGCCTTGTTTAAAACATATTCTGAAATGTAAAAGTGATGTCTTGTTTTTTTTTAATAAAAGCTGAAAATACAGTATCTTAGTAATTCACATTATTACATCTGAAATACCCTTGTTGAAATAATGTTTTCTGCAATACATGACAATAGCTTACTTGAGGGGAGAAAGCACTGCTTTTGTTTCTTGTGTTTGCCCATACACCAGTACCTCTGATTTTAGGAGGACTAAGGAGTCTAGTTTGGACTAAGTACCAGGCTTCTACTTAAGATGCTGATGTTAGGAACTTGACTGCCTGAGCCTCCCTCCCCAGTCGGGGAAAGAAAATGTGCATCCAGAAGGAACTTGGCTCTTGGGCATTTTCAGGGGGACCTACACATTCCCTGACAGAGGAAGCAGATGGTACTTGGCTCTCCAACCTGAGCAGCTCTGCCAAGAAACGTTGGGTTGGATGGACCTGCCTTACACTGCAGTTCTGAAAATTAGTACCAGTGCTTAAATCGGCATACCTTTGAAAAATTCAGTGTTTGCATTTGTCAATGCTGCTGTTTGCAGGATGTTTTGAAGTTCCAGCCTCTGTGTGAGCTGCAGTGGAGGCTGTATTCACGGGCAATGTCCTGTGAGCTGTGCTAGTGCAGTTAAAGCAGTCAATGCACTATGTGTCTACTTCTGGCTGTCCCCAT